CAATAAGTTTATAACTCCTTGTTATAAATAGAAACATTTGGCGCTGCATGAAAAGTGAGAAATAGATTGTAGTGTGTGTTTGCATGCAAATTCAGTTCTAATTATAGATAGATCGCGGATGTATTTCATTTTTTGTGAACTAAAATCTGCATTTGTCACATCGAGTTTGAATAATCATACATTTTAATATTATACTGATTAAATATTATAATTTATTATATAAATTAAGAATTATAAAGATGAAAATATGTACATAATTCTAGTGAATTAAAACTTGTTAATAATTATATTAATGTTATTTATAATACTTATGTTAAAGGTTTAAAGTTAAATTGTCCTGATTAAAGAAAACATAATAAACAAATATAGCAGCTTTCATTAGGATATCAAACTAAAAATTGACAGAAGTTGCATCTTTTGAAATTATGAATAAAGAATAGAAATAATAGTTGTTTTTAAGTTAGGTAAATATCATAATGATTATAAAGGACTTAAAACTGAAGTAATTGTGTTCCCTGACCTGCCGATCATAATCATTATGAATAGATCTCTCCATTGTTCTGTTTCTTAATTACTGGACAATGAATTTCAGCCAGTAGACAACGGTCACAATGTCAGCTTCTGTTGCTAAACATAAAAGAATGAATCAGCCTGTACGAGAGGAGGGCTTGTCATTTCGTCAGGCAATTCAGCGCATGAAGAGAGAACGAATGTGCCAAAGCGAGATGATAGAGAAAGACAAACGTCTTAATCTCCCGAGGTAAGGATTCACCGAGTCTGTCTCTTTAACTTAGAAGGCAATTAATTTAAAAAGCGGTATATGTGCTAATTTTGAATATAGATTGTATGGATGGAATTCCCTTAGATGTCATTTGGAATGTTCAAACAAAAGAACAAGAAGAAGGCGACATTGAAATAGCATTGTAAATGTCAATATAGATATTGTTGTCAAACTGTCAACTTTTGACAACATTAGATCCCCAGATGTTTTCGAAGACTAATGGTAAAGAATCAGATTCAATGCTTAAAAGATAATGCGTACATTTTCAGTGTCTTATATGATGTGATATACCATATTGTTTTTAAATTATCGCGACGTACATTGGCAGGGTTATGGGTATTAACATACATGTTAAGGTCCTCTTTCATATGCCAAAATTTGTCTTTAATTAATACGATATAGATAAAGATTTTGTGTCAATGCCATATTAGCTCTGAGTTGAGGGCGTGACCTTGTTAATCATTGCTATGTGCTGTTTCGTGCGCTACATCTGTTCTTGTTTTGGTGTCTTAAGCCTTTAGGTTGAGAGTAAGTCTTTGTTCCTCAACGTATCATCGATGTATTACCATATAGACATTTGAGTTTAGTCTGTCTATCCTGTGCGATTTTGAGATTTAAGTATGTCCTTGTCTGATAAAGCTATCGTTAAACTCAACATCCCCAATATCATTCAACTTTAGAAGCAACGATTTCCACATTCGGTGAGTTTTATCCCGTTTTCTGTAATGTGTTGTTGGACGCCCGTTTTCACGGGTGTCTGTCCGTCCTTGATTTTCCTTTTGTCGGACACGACTTTGAATTGATCACTATGGCAAGTTCACATATTCTCCGTTTGGACCACGCATTACACTTGCTTGATTTGTGAAGTTTGAGGCACGCCCACTGTGTTTCTCTAGTAATGCACACTCTTGTAGTTCAGAAACATCAGTGCATATAAAACTCTTCTGGTAGGTCAGTGTTCTGGAATCGATATTGGTTTTTTTCATTTGAAAGGTTTTATTCCAGTTCAAATAAATGTGTCTATGGTTTCTCCATTTCCCTGGAATGATTGGTGAAAAGAAGAAATGAATACTCGTGTCGATATGTTATTTCCAGTTGGATGAGTGTTTAAAGTACATGCTCAGTGTGGTTTGAATACCACCGCTATACAAGGTGCAGATGTATTGATGTTTATATAGACAGTACACAATCTGATTCTTTGACTGGAGTGTTGTTCACATTCTTCAGCTGTCGACAGGTGGCGTGCATTCAGTCACGTGTCAATCAGTCTCGGTCACTAAATTTGCAGGGTTTTTCGTAAAAAGTCTTGTTGTTAAAGTGTTTTTAGATCAATCAGTGATATTTCTCTTTTTGACGTTCGAAGAATTTCATCAGAGAAACCCATCAGAAGAAATCTTCCCAATGAGGAACAATGCATATCTTTTCAAGACGTCGTTAGGCGTATGAAATCAGAAAGAATATTAAGGAGTGACTTTAACACTAGTGAAGGCGAGATCACTGAGACAAAATTGAAAGACAATGTTACCGCTCATGAGGGCGGGAAATCACAAACTGATGACGTAGATACAGACAGGTAAGAACACAATACGAACTACTTAACACCTGTGGTAATAACTATTCTATATCCATAACGTAGACTTTTTATCGTATTTTTACTGTTGAGAACTTCACTCTCTTTCTTTTTTTTTAAGCTGAAGCTTCTACTCTACACTCTTTGATGATTCAATTACTGCAATTACTGAAATGAATCGGGGGAATGGTTTATCTGAAATATGGTCTAATTTTATATGTTGATAGTCGTGTGTGGCATTCTTTGTGTCATTAGCTGGTATAGTAAAGACGTGGGTTGGGAAAGGGGGTGATCAATCTGTGTCATTTGTGATTTAATAACGAAGATTGTATCGTACTGTTGCCGCTACAATTCTAGAAACCGACGTTATGTATAATTCAAAGCCGCCATATATCTGTTATCACTTTTTAAGATCCATTATCAAATAGAAAAATAGCATATACCTGTTATGTGCAAAACACAGTAGTATTGATTTACGATTTTCATTGTTATCATCTAAGGGCGATAACTCTCATAAACTGTACAAATGTTTGTATTGTATCGTTTATCGTGATTTTTTTCCTTGTTAGCTTATAACCAATTTTTGATTGATCTTTAAGAAGAACAAAATGCATTACGATAATTAATGAGTGAGAGGTGAAGATATAAAACAACCATGTTAAACCACTACTAGTGTTGCCCAATAAACATTACTTTTCAGAAAGTTCGAAACTCAAAACTCTTTCTTTATAACCTTAGATATTTTATCATTCGATAGCAAGACTGGTGATAAACAATACATTTCTGCACGTGCTTTTCCTATTTGGTTTTCAAAAAAATCTAAAATTACTGACCGGGACAGGTTACTTCCAACACAAGGTCAATGTTTGACCTTATTAGAGGTCATCCAACGTCTTAAGGATTTTCGGACAACTGGAAACACTACCGTAGACAATGAATTGTCCAACACAATGGAAATTCCTCCGCCGAGGTAATCTCCTGTACAGCATGCAAAAACAGGAAGTGATTCGAGAGATGCGCATGCGTACTGAAGTTAATCCGTTTGCAGTTTTGCGATAACTACATTGTAATCTTTGATTTATTAAAAAAAAACTGAAATAAAATCTATATATCACTTTCAACTTAATATTTTAATGTGCATGATATAGCCCTTTGAATGTATATACAGTGCTCGAACGATAGTGGATCATTGTATGTCCCGATGCTTGTATGATTTTAGTGAAGTTTTGAACTCTTGTCCGTTCATTTCAGATTACTTTCTTTCATAATCATCTGAAATGGAGTTACGTGTATTTACAACAACTCTGACACAGTGAAAATATATGTTGATGACGATATTAATAACTTGACAATTTTGTATAACAAGTTGGGTGTTGAATATTTCTGGTAAACATTATAGAAATGTATGTGCAATGCACCAACTGTCTGTGTATGTGAGACTCGCATTGTACACTCACCATCAGAATGTGTATGTGAGAGTGTTATACAGTATCATACTACATTATAGACTGTGTATAAATATAAAAATAGTGTTATTACACTATATAGCAACCTATGTATATAATGGTGTTATTACACTGTATAACACACTGAGTATATAATGGTGTTATTACACTGTATAACACACTGAGTATATCATGGTGTTGTTACACTGTATAACAGACTGAGTATATAATGGTGTTATTACACCGTTTAATCTGAATATATCAAGGTAATAATACTCTACATAGAGCCTGCATGTTGCATGGTTTGATATTAATGTTTTACACGGTGTGCATCTCCCTTTCCCTGTCATCTGTCCCACCATGCACTATAAAAATGGCCGCAAATTACTCTTTATCAAAACGATCCCAGTTTGAAGCAAATAATAAAGATATGCGTGTACGGTTTGTGTCGTGTGCTACTACTGTTAATATCTTAATGATCAGGGACAAAAAGCGTTCTAATTGTCTTCAGTGTACAACAGGCAGGTGTCATATCTGACACATATAATATACCTCTAGCTGTTTCAGACCAACGATAAGAGAAATTATCATACTCCAGTATTTCCCTGCATTACGTATTTTATTTCCAATAAGGGTCCGAAACCAATCTTTTCCTTTTTTCACAATGTACTCCCTTTTTCTATCGTTTCACGACACTGTTTGGTAAACTGATATTAATGTTTTCTGTGCTTTCTTTAACACAACTTTTAAAGATTTCTTTGTGTGATTTATCCATTCATTACATTATATTCCACGCTGCCTCAATGCTGTTTGTCTTAGTTTCTTACTGTTTCATATAATTGTTTTTCATTAATTCAAAAGTTAATATTGATAAGAAGATAGTAATAAAGTTGATATTGTTAAAAGTAATTCTTTTAAAAAAATCACAAAAAATGAGCCAAAAATTGCTACGTATATCCCCTGTATATATTATTTATACATTTTGTACATTGCTAGTAGTTAAGACGATAAACTTCGATTTAGATTATAAAGTAAGAAAGTAACATGGAATCTGTGAGTATTTGTACAACCACTATATATATTCATGTAAGATTAAACTATCTACCTACAAACTATTTTTGAATATAGTACATGTTTCTTGTGTATACGGTTCACGTGTATTTGTTTAAATGATGTGTGATTTTTTCTTTCGTGTCGTCCTCAGGTTGATGGAGAGAACAAGTATCGACCCGCGGCGAGCTAGGAGTCTGCCATGGTTTGAGGACAGTCGAACGTCATACCAACATCACGCGGACTATCTCAAACGCCTGTCCACCCTTAGGGACGAACTTATCAACCAGGAGCATGAGAACCTGTCAAACGCTTTAGAGCGACTTAAACAGAGACAAAACGGAAAGGAAAACAGAACTACTACGCGACCACGTGACACAGATGCATTCGGGTTTGAGGTTCCACCCCGTAAGGCACTGATGACAACAGTTGAACAGTTCAAACGTACCCGGCCCAGACGAAGTCCTCCAAGGATTATGCCTTTAGAGGGAAAGCAAATTATGGAACCACAAGCGGTTTTCAAATCTCCTCGTAGCCCATTGCTGCCACCGTCGTCACTTCCGGTTCGAACGCCAGATGAAAGTTTTAAACTGAATCTACAACGGTTGATCCAGCCAACTTCTAGTATTCCAAACATTGGTCGAAAATCAACAACCTCTAACAAACAATTAGTTCTTGAAACATCCCCGTTACAGAAGAAGTCCACGCCACCTAAGTTATCCCCATATCCATTAGAACGGCATGGTCCATTGTACAAAGGTACACTGAAGACAGGGGGCCGTCTCAAAGGTCTTATCAGGCCGGATGACGACAAAGACTACGACGATTTACCAACGCCCGGTTTTCAACATTCTGACACAATGGACCAGGATAAGATGAGCCTGGAACAGCTTAAAGACTATTACTGTATATATTATCTTCCTACGAACACGCCCGTAGTTCCGAACGAAGACGACATGTCTTTCTACGGGGAATCCGTACATAGCAGTCGGAAATCCGAAGGGAGAGACAGTAGAAAACGAGTTAATGCCGTAGAGGGCAGGTCAATTATGAAGAGACTCGACAAATCGAAACATAGAACAAATCCTAGGCGCACGCCAAGACGTGACCGAAAAAACTATTCCGAAAGTCATGATTACGACTCGGATTATTCAGGTGGTACGCCACCTCCTGCACATAAGAAACAGATTGTTGTAGATATGCCAGCGATAGTGTTTAACACGGCAACCCCGGAAAGGACACGGATTGACTTCGATCCTCAGATAACGCCCCTGCGTAAAACTTATAAGCAAAATGAACTTCGTCAGAGGGAATTAAAAAACTTAATTGAGGATGTCAAAGAACTCAACTTACGGAACGACACGTTAACAGGGTTCTTGAAAAAAGCACCGGATGAATATCGGGAATAATGTACCGTAACTCTTAAGTTTTGGAATAACAGAATGATGCAAAGTACATGTTTTCGTTCAGACTACAAGTTAAGGTACATGTTCTTCAAAAGACATACTCGGCTAACTGGTGCTTGTTATCGTTTGTGCGAGACTGGGTAACGGAATAATTTGAAGACAGATTGGATTATCTCCCTTGTGTATACATTGCGTCTATAGACCCAAGACTGTAGATAAATTATTATTTTGAGATCAAAATCAATTAAGTTATCGGGGTCAGTTTAAAATTAATGTCATTGATATATCTAAATTGTTGTAGGTCCTATAGTTATGAAGCCGCCAAGATACTCTCAATCGATGCGAGGGATTTTGTATAAACTTTGGTGGCTTTGTCAGAAATATTAACACGAAAAGTGAAACACAGAAAAAGAAAAATATACGTTGTGTATCACGTTATACCAGTAGTTGGACTTGTCAGTGACCAGTCCACGTAATAATTAGTTGGACTTGTCAGTGACCAGCCCACGTAATAATTAGTTGGACTTGTCAGTGACCAGTCCACGTAATAATTAGTTGGACTTGTCAGTGACCAGTCCACGTAATAATTAGTTGGACTTGTCAGTGACCAGCCCACGTAATAATTAGTTGGACTTGTCAGTGACCAGTCCACGTAGTAATTAGTTGGACTTGTCAGTGACCAGTCCACGTAGTAATTAGTTGGACTTGTCAGTGACCAGTCCACGTAATAATTAGTTGGACTTGTCAGTGACCAGTCCACGTAATATTTTGTTGGACTTGTCAGTGACCAGCCCACGTAATAATTATGGATAACTTGGTCATACAAGCTTCTTGTGTCAACTGAAATTACTAGATTATACGTACAATATTATTTCATAACTTTACAGATAAGAAAGATTCAACGTTTTGTAGTTAAGGTGAATATCGAGAAGTATTAAGTGTTATATTTCACATCATTTATTAAATTTTCTCAATAAAGTTTTCAACTTTGTTTTGTCCAGAAGATTACGGCAGGTAGATTGTTGTCGAATATTTATCAAATCTGATAAAACCCGATGAATTCTGAGAACATTTTACAAATCCGTCATTTAGTTTGTGTGACCTGGAAAGTAGTCGTTTCCTGAATGTTATAATCATATTTGAACGGAAAACGCTACCTATTTCCAAGTCGATCTTTAATAGTTAACTCGTGGAAATAACACCCACAGCAACAAAAGTAGCCAGAATCAAAACATACACGTCATATATCTTAATAAGCTCTGCATGCGAAAATCATGTTTATCTTTTGAAAACGAATGATTATATATAGCAAGCTATCCTTTATCATTTACTTTTAAATGGGACATGCCTACTTCTTACAATCACTGTTCCACTTCGATCAATTTAAATAACAAAACATAAAACAAATAAATGAGAATTGTATTCACAACAACAAAAAATCTCTTTTAATTAGGATTTATTTTGTCAGAATCAGTTCGTTTAAAAAAGAAAATCAACATCATATTTACAGTTTTTCGGGCGGTCTTGACTCAAAGCGCCACCCAGATTCCAATACCTATTGCCAACCTATGTTAATTGAACACGCGGGACAACAATAAGATGGCATGTACCTGTAAACGTCGGGTTATGTGATCTAGACTAAGTGATACCATGTATATAAAAGATTATATACCCTAGAGTCACGTTTAATCAGTTTAATTAACTTGCGATGATCAACAGTACGTCTCATTCATTGTGTATAGATATCAAATGTTAAATTATGAATAAATAATCAACGTATTGAATAGTAATAATGTTTTATTTGTCGAATATGTAGCAATAGAGCTGACAGATACATAAGGATAATCACATATACACACATGTGTATTACACAAGGAGGGTCGTCATGTATACGGTGTACCTACACACGTGTATTACACAAGGAGGGTCGTCATGTATACAGTGTACTACACACGTGTATTACACAAGGAGGGTCGTCATGTGTACAGTGTACCTACACACGTGTATTACACAAGGAGGGTCGTCATGTATACAGTGTACTACACACGTGTATTACACAAGGAGGGTCGTCATGTATACGTTGTACCTACACATGTGTATTACACAAGGAGGGTCGTCATGTATAGTGTACTACACACGTGTATTACACAAGGAGGGTCGTCATGTGTACAGTGTACCTACACACGTGTATTACACAAGGAGGGTCGTCATGTATACAGTGTACCTACACACGTGTATTACACAAGTAGGGTCGTCATGTATACAGTGAACCTACACACGTGTATTACACAAGGAGGGTCGTCATGTATACAGTGTACCTACACACGTGTATTACACAAGGAGGGTCGTCATGTATACAGTGAACCTACACACGTGTATTACACAAGGAGGGTCGTCATGTATACAGTGTACCTACACACGTGTATTACACAAGGAGGGTCGTCATGTATACAGTGAACCTACACACGTGTATTACACAAGGAGGGTCGTCATGTATACAGTGTACCTACACACGTGTATTACACAAGGAGGGTCGTCATGTATACAATGAACCTACACACGTGTATTACACAAGTAGGGTCGTCATGTATACAGTGTACTACACACGTGTATTACACAAGGAGGGTCGTCATGTATACAGTGTACCTACACACGTGTATTACACAAGGAGGGTCGTCATGTATACAGTGTACCTACACACGTGTATTACACAAGGAGGGTCGTCATGTATACAGTGAACCTACACACGTGTATTACACAAGGAGGGTCGTCATGTATACAGTGTACTACACACGTGTATTACACAAGGAGGGTCGTCATGTATACAGTGAACCTACACACGTGTATTACACAAGGAGGGTCGTCATGTATACAGTGTACTACACACGTGTATTACACAAGGAGGGCCGTCATGTATACAGTGTACTACACACGTGTATTACACAAGGAGGGTCGTCATGTATACAGTGTACTACACACGTGTATTACACAAGGAGGGTCGTCATATATACAGTGTACTTACACACGTGTATTACACAAGTAGGGTCGTCATGTATACAGTGAACCTACACACGTGTATTACACAAGGAGGGTCGTCATGTATACAGTAAACCTACACACGTGTATTACACAAGGAGGGTCGTCATGTATACATTGTACCTACACACGTGTATTACACAAGGAGGGTCGTCATGTGTACCATGAACCTACACACGTGCATTACACAAGGTGGGTCGTCATGTATACAGTGTACCTACACACGTGTATTACACAAGGAGGGTCGTCATGTGAACAGTGTACCTACACACGTGTGTATTACATAATTAGGGTCATGTATACGGTGTACCTACACACGTGTATTACACAAGAAGGGTCGTCATGTATACAGTGAACCTACACACGTGTATTACACAAGTAGGGTCGTCATGTATACAGTGAACCTAAACACGTTTGTATTACACAAGGAGGATCGTCATGTATACAGTGTACCTACACACGTGTATTACACAAGGAGGATCGTCATGTATACAGTGTACATACAAACGTGTATTACACATGGAGGGTCGTCATGTATACAGTGAACCTACACACGTGTATTACACAAGTAGGGTCGTCATGTATACAGTGAACCTACACACGTTTGTATTACACAAGGAGGATCGTCATGTATACAGTGTACATGCAAACGTGTATTACACAAGGAGGGTCGTCATGTATACAGTGAACCTACACACGTGTATTACACAAGGAGGGTCGTCATGTTAAAAGTGTACCTACACACGTGTATTACACAAGGAGGGTCGTCATGTATACAGTGAACCTACACACGTGTATTACACAAGGAGGGTCGTCATGTATACAGTGTACCTACACACGTGTATTACACAAGGAGGGTCGTCATGTATACAGTGAACCTACACACGTGTATTACACAAGGAGGGTCGTCATGTATACAGTGTACCTACACACGTGTATTACACAAGGAGGGTCGTCATGTAAACAGTGAACCTACACACGTGTATTACACAAGTAGGGTCGTCATGTATACAGTGTACTACACACGTGTATTACACAAGGAGGGTCGTCATGTATACAGTGTACCTACACACGTGTATTACACAAGGAGGGTCGCCATGTATACAGTGTACCTACACACGTGTATTACCCAAGGAGGGTCGTCATGTATACAGTGAACCTACACACGTGTATCACACAAGGAGGGTCGTCATGTATACAGTGTACTACACACGTGTATTACACAAGGAGGGTCGTCATGTATACAGTGTACTACACACGTGTATTACACAAGGAGGGTCGTCATGTATACAGTGTACTACACACGTGTATTACACAAGGAGGGTCGTCATGTATACAGTTTACTACACACATGTATTACACAAGGAGGGTCGTCATGTGTACAGTGAACCTACACACGTGCATTACACAAGGAGGGTCGTCATGCATACAGTGTACCTACACACGTGCATTACACAAGGAGGGTCGTCATGTATACAGTGTACCTACACACGTGTATTACACATGGAGGGTCGTCATGTATACAGTGAACCTACACACGTGTATTACACAAGGAGGGTCGTCATGTATACAGTGTACTACACACGTGTATTACACAAGGAGGGTCGTCATGTAAACAGTGAACCTACACACGTGTATTACACAAGGAGGGTCGTCATGTATACAGTGTACTACACACGTGTATTACACAAGGAGGGTCGTCATGTATACAGTGTACTACACACGTGTATTACACAAGGAGGGTCGTCATGTATACAGTGTACTACACACGTGTATTACACAAGGAGGGTCGTCATGTATACAGTGTACTACACACATGTATTACACAAGGAGGGTCGTCATGTATACAGTGAACCTACACACGTGTATTACACAAGGAGGGTCGTCATGTATACAGTGTACCTACACACGTGTATTACACAAGGAGGGTCGTCATGTGTACAGTGAACCTACACACGTGCATTACA